GAATTTGCAACTGGAAACAATTTGTCAATCCTTGTTGCTCAGAAAGCTGAGATTACATGGGCATACTGAACCACGGCCATTATTGTTTGAGCCACTGCATTCTAGACCACTTGAAGCTTCCCAGTGGTCTTCAAGGATTGCCCCAGTTGCAGTAGTCAAGCCAGAAGGTGATTAGGGTATGAAAGTGACTCTTCAATCTAGGGGGGGGAAGCATGGACCTCTTCCTCTAGTCACGAGGAGTCCAGACTAACTCAATGACAAATTACATCAAAACAGACAAATTAGAGGAACACTACGATTGTGAGTATTGTCAAATATATATGCACCATGCTGTTTTCTGTTTTTAAAAGCCTGCACTTTTCTTTTCTTTTTCAATTTAGAAATGCAAGCGCCCTCCGTCATCATTTCCCGAGCCCCCCTAGAGATTTCCCTCAAGAGCACCACTGCCCTCATTCTCATCTGTGATGTGAGTGGATTTTCCCCAGAGGAGATTAGCATCTCGTGGGAAAGAAATAATGTATCCCTGGATGAAAAACTGTACGATAATGGGATCGCCACGGAGACAGCAAACGGGTACTCCATTTATAGCATCTTAAAAATCGGCAGAGATGAACCGGGAGGAAAAGGAGGGAGCTACAGCTGTATAGTCCACCATCCTGCTTCTCAAACTCCGTACGTGGCCTATGAAAAAGTACCCATTGGTAAGTGGACCTCCTAAGGATGTCGCTGAAGGCATCACAATGAGTTACATGGCGAGCGTGGATCTTCTGCAAGAGATTCTTCGCTGTAACGGGTTAAAAAGCTCATAGATCACAAACATCCTTTGGTTGAGCATAGCTGAGAGGAAGGTCCATTAACGGAAAGAAGGACCTGAAAAATACTATTATTTAGGGTGCTACGTGGTTATTATTCTGATGAGCCCAGGTGAAAATGTATATTATGGAGCAGCAGAAAATGCATATTGGTCCTGATAGAGTCCTTTCCCCTCAAAATTATCCAAATCTTCATCAAAATTTTGTACCAAATTGCAAGAACATCTTACGAGAGCTTGCAAGAATTTGGTCCTTCCTTTTTCAGCAAAGCCATTACATCCAGTTGTGTAATGCTATCCAGAGTCCAGTAACAGCTGCTGAACTTGCTGTTGCATATTTTTCTCTACTGTGATTAGAGGAACACCAACCTTTGAATATAATCTGCCTCTTTGAGTGCAGCTATATAACAGAATAAGAGAGTTGGAAGGGACCTTGGAGGTCTTCTAGTCCAACCTCCTGCTCAGGTAGGAAACACTATAACATTTCAGACACATGCTTGTCCAATGTCTTCTTTAAAACCTCCAGTGTTGGAGCACCCACAACTTCTGGAGGCAAGTTTTTCTACTGATTAATTGTCCTCACTGTCAGGAAATTTCTCCTTAGTGCCAGGTTGCTTCTCTCCTTGATTAGTTTCCATCTGCTACTTCTTATCCTGCCTTGAGGTGCTTTGGAAAAAAGGTTGACCTCTCTTCTTTATGTCAACCCCTTAGATATTGGAAGACTGCTATCATGTCAGCCTTAGTCCTTCTTTTCATTAAACAAATGTACCCAATTCCTGCAACCATTGACACCAAGGTTAAGAGCAATAATAATCTGGACTTAAGCAAATATGTATAAATATATCAATCAATTCTAATATTTTTAAGCATATCCAAGGTACCTCCACAAGGGTAAGACATGGAAATCAGAGTTGGTTCAGTAAAATGCTTGCTAAAATAAATTTCATTGTATCTAAAATTTTAACCCTCAATTCCATCAGCAGTGCAAATGCTATTAAGGAGGGGCATGGGCTAGTTCATGCATGTGTATGCATTGTGCAAATGATCCTAATAATGAGTTTTCCATGTGAAACAGCCATCCGAATCCAACACCACTGATGGAACATTCACACAACCATGCCTCATTTCTGTCCTTTCAGAAGAAACGGTTCATATTTTTGCCTGAAGAATTATCGGGGGAAGGGGTGGGGGGAAAATAACCAAAAGAGGGGAGAGGTTTTTTTGTTTGTTTGGTTGGTTGGTTGGTTTTTGTTTCACTTTTCTTCTATTGGAAAATGTTGACATTTTGGGGGACTCACCTGAGATAATAAAGTAAAAGGACACTTTCTTCAAGTCAACACTTAGCTTCTGCTGATTTCAAGAACCAAGTCCATGATGTCTTCTTGGCAGCAGTCCAGAAGTGGTTGGGCGCCGCTTCTTCCTGGAAAGTTTTCAACTCCCCAATATAGCTCTCAGTTCTGGAATTCTCTAACTTTGGAACCTTGATACTCTCTGAGCTTGATGGCTTTCTTGCAGATGTTTCATTACCATCATCAGCATCACCAACACTGATGATGTTACCTAATTTGGTAATTAAATGTCTAAAAGAAAACAACCAAGCTCAGAGAGCACCAAGGACCTCACAATCCTCCTCCTCCTCCTCTTCATCCTCCTCCTCCACCACCACCACCACTCCACAAACCCCTTACCTTCCACCACTGATGTTCCCTGGTTGGATCATGAAACATCTGCAAGGAAACAACTCTCAGGAGAGAGCATCAATGACTCCCACAGTCCTCCTCCTCCTCCACTACCACCACCACCACCGACTTCACTTTCCCCCATTCCATAAACCCCTCTCCCTTTACCACCAATGATGTTACGTAGTTGGGTCATAAAATGTCTGCAAGAAAACCACCAGCTCAGAGAGCACCAAGGACTCTGCAATTCAACCTTGAGCCACAAATATCCTCTTCCATTGGGAATTCTTCACGTGTCCCCTTCCAAATATTAACCAGGCCTGATCCTGCTTAGCTTCCTATCCCAAACAAAACATTAGGTGGTACTATTTTGTTTTGTTATGTCTCAGATGCTTTGGAAAATGCTGTATTCACTCCCTTGTTATCATATAAAGTATCTAGTGCAGGGGTGTCAAATTGCTGGCCCGTGGGCCGGATGAGTCATGGCAAAACTGTGTCCACCCTATTGCCGGCAATGGAAAAAAAAAGTCACGATACGTCGCAACACGTCACGTGACGTTGCGAGTTTGACACCCCAGATCTAGTGCATCAGATTACCATGTCTATACATTAACATGACTATACATATAGCACTTAACCCTAACATATACTTAATGAGAAGAACAACCACTTCCATAGTTGATTAATATCTGTTTGGATGCTTCTGGTGAACTCTGTCCTAGACTAAGATATTTGAAGCTATATCATACATTTACTGTTCTTTCTTTTTTACCCACTGAGGTGATTAGACTTTTCTCTCCTCTGGTTATGCAAACAAGTATCCTGCTATGACTTTAATACTGTGGGTGTTTACGTTAGGCAATCTAATATGTGCGTAAAAACTGGGCAAGCAAACCCTGGCTAAGGTAAAAACATCATCTAGAAAGTAAAAGAAAGAAATCAGATAAATAATTGTATATTTTAAATATGGGTTCAGGAGGAAATCATTGCATGCATTTCAACTTTGCATGATTTTTGTCCCTGGAAAAAAGGATTGTTTTTTATTTTTAATTATATGATTTCAATTTTTCCAGTAGTTTTTACATTTCAGGCACACAAGTCTAATTTCATTGGCAAATTTAAAATAAATTAGTTCTAGGTGAGGTACTGCTGGTTACTTCTTCTAGTACTTGGTGCCCAATTATTCTAGGCATGCTCAGACACAATCTCCATCAGCATCACATTCCCATCGTACAGCAAAGAGCCTACATCGGGAAGATTCATACAGCCCTAATTTGCTTCTTGAAGAGTATCTCCAATTCTTTTATTTACACTCCAGGGAGATCCATTTGCTTATTACAGGTAACTTATTTTTTGATGTCACCCTAATGCACCTTACGATATGACCCTTCCTCTACTTTGATTATGGCTCCTGATGATCACAGTCTCTTTACAGATTTCCTGGAGCCTCACGCACCTACGGTGGAACTCCTGCAGTCCGTAGATCGGGTGAAGGACATCGTGATGTTGAAATGCATCGCATCTAATTACAGACCCCCAAGTGTCACCATCAAGTGGATGGGTGGCCCACAAAATAAGAAGGAAGACATTGTGGACAAGAAGATGGCAGATGGAACCTACTGGGCCAGCAGCCAACTTACCATCCCCGTCTCCCAATGGCAAGAAATGGACAACAATAGTTGTGAAGTGGTACACCAACCAACGAATACAAAACAGGTCCAGAAGATCTCCAGAAAAGGTGAGATGGAGCAGCAAAGCTAGAATGTCTGAGGTCCATCTTTTAATTGGATGCTTCATGCTCCAATCTTTTCCTTTCCACTTACTGGATGTAAACTGGGGCTTCCTTCTGAATACTGTGTGCCTGGATTGCACTCCTCCTCATCTTCTTCCTCTTCTTCCTCTTCTTCCTCTTCTTCCTCTTCCTTCTCATCTTCCTCTTTCTCTTCTTTTTCCTCTTCTTCCTCCTTCTTGTCTTCTTCTTTCTCTTCCTCCTCCTCCTCTTCCTTTTCCTCTTCTTCCTCCTCATTCTCATCTTCCTATTTTTCTTCTTCTTCTTCTTCTTCTTCTTCTTCTTCTTCTTCTTCTTCTTCTTCTTCTTCTTCTTCTTCTTCTTCTTCTTCTTCTTCTTCTTCTTCTTCTTCTTCTTCTTCTTCTTCTTCTTCTTCTTCTTCTTCTTCTTCTTCCTCCTCCTCCTCCTCCTCCTCCTCCTCTTCCTCTCTTACTGCTTTGGGTGTTAAGGGAGATACAAAGTTTTGGTTCCTGCTCTTATCATGGCCTTAACCATTGTTAGTTGAGATTCTGGGTCACCCTGAAATAGCCTGGCTAAGGGGGCTCTGGTGAAGTTGTGACAGGCCCAACAAGCCGACAATGGATAATTTATTGCTATACAAATTATAACAAGATGATTATGATTGTACCGCACTCTTAAAAAAAATAGAGAAGTTAGTATGACAGGACAATTAATTCTGGAACAACCACAATAGTATATGGACCATGAAGGGCTAAGGGGGAGATTTATAGCAATAGCACTTAGACCTATATACCACTTCACAGTGCTTTACAGCCCTCTCTAAGTGATTTACAGAGTCAGACTATGGCCCCCAACAATCTGGGTCCTCATTTTACCAACATTGGAAGGATGGAAGGCTGAGTCAACCTTGAGCCGGTCAGAATCAAACTGCCAAACTGCAGGCAGCTGACAGTCAGCAGAAGTAGCATTATAATCATTGTGCCGCCACGGCTCATTTAAAGCCATCAATGTTCTTCTTAAATTCTCTGCCACATTTCTGGCCAAACAGATTCAGTAGAAGACTTTTCCAAGGGATGGAGAAATTCTCCAGCAAGTTTTTCATGAACAAGGCTCCTCTTATTAATAATAATAATAATAATAATAATAATAATAATAATAATAATAATAATAATAATAATAATAATAATAATAATAATAATAATAATAATAATAA